TTTGGGTGTTAATTCAACTATATTAAAACATATCCTGTATTTATTATTTTAGTGAATGGTTGCACCAAAGTTGTTCAATGTTTCTGTTATGGAAAAATTGACAATAAAACCCATGAGATGCTCTTTGATGCTCCAGTAAAGTGCTTCTTTGTCCTTCAATTACATTCATATCTGTTGTTTTGTTTGTTTTTTCCCTGAAAACTTTGAAGCAAAAAAAATAATCAAATCTAATAATTAAGACTCTTTTTAGTTAGTTTTTAGTAAAATAGTTTTTAGTAAAATAGTTAGTCCTTCTATATTTCATAGCTAGAGCCTTTTTTGGCACCTAATCCCAGATCTTCTAAAACTCTTGAGGGAGTAAAACACTTTTAGCATTTCATTCAAAATTACACTTTTTTTCTGTCACCACCTAAAAATGTCACAGTGCTTTAAATTCAGCTGCCAATGTTTTGTTCTTCTGCAGTGTTTTTGCGTACATTCACACAGTTTGGGGAAAACTTTAACTTAGAGAATTTGATCTGAGGTAAATAAGTCTTTTTACAGTAGCTATGATAATTTCATTTGCACCGTCAATCACAAATCGGGAATAAGAAGTGCTTAGAGTCACATTGGGGAACCAGACAGATGCCATTCTAAAAGATTTCAAAACTTCTGACAGTTTGATATCACTCTTATGACACAAAAAGAAGAACTGGCGAGAATGAAAGATTTTCTGTGCAGCCAGAAAAAAGCAGCTTTGCAACATAGATAACTATTTTGCACACTTCCTGATATGGCGGATCCTAACTGAGGAAGCGCAGAAGCTGTCCAATCAGGAAGGTGAGCAGCAGCAGCACCACAGAACCTGAAATGAAAAGAAAAACAAAATAAAATAATCAGTCCAGAAGAGCTTTAACTGTTTGATCATAACCCCATTTAATGGGATCTATTGCGGCCAAAATTATTCACACCACGGCTGGATGTAGATTTAAAAATTGTTTAATTCACTCAGATTTAACACATGAAGCATTAAAAACTTAGGAGTAAGTTTTTAATGCTTCATGTGTTTCTTTTTCCATTTTTTCTGTTTTTCTGCATGTATGTCTAAGTGTGTATGTGTGTGATGAAGGGCTACAACTAATGATTACTTTAGTAACAGATTATTCTATTGATTATTGAATCAATTCATTGGATAGAAGAATGGTATATTCTGCAGATTTACCATTTAACCAGATAAACCTTTTTATACAATGTTAGAAACACATTAAAAGATGCAAATAAACATGTCAGTTCCTTTTTTTAAATAAGAAAATAAACAGTTTCTTGCCTAAAATGCAATAACAGCATTACTTTCATGATCCTCTCTAGCAAAGAATGACTCTGCATTCATTGCTGAGCCTCTATACTCCAGTTAACAATTAATCGATTGCTAAGCTAGTTGACGATTATTTCATAAATCAATTCCTCATGATTAATCCGATCAATTGTTTTGGCCCTACTGTGATGGGATGTCAAATTCCTTGAAGGAACATCTGGTTTCTTCTTATTGTGATTAATAAATCAATTTATCTGCAATTGGATGACCTTTAGTGGTTCTTCAAAGACATTTTACACGTTAGTAGTAATATCAGATAAAAACTTTAAGAAGTCAGATTTAAAAAAAAAAAAAAAAAACACAGAAAGGACTTACTCTTATTTCCCATCGTCGAGCCACTGGTGAATCTGAGAGAACTCATTTGGCCAAAGAATTTCACACGTGTCTCCTTAATTTCACCATTTACCTGTAAAGAAGAGCTTAAGGTTAAACACGTTTTACCCCTTATCAAGTATTTAACTTTAAATTCTCGCTCTAGTAGAATTAGATTAAACTAAATGATAGAACGCTGGAGACGTACATAGCACACAGTGTTCACGGTCACGTTCACACATCTGTCCAGGATTATCCCAGCATCACTGATTTCTTTGCATGGAGATTCACAGGATTTGGTCTCACCAGAGATTTCAGCAAAGTTCTACAGGAACAAATGGAAAAACTGATGTTTTACTTCAGAGCAACACAGATTTTACAGCAGCTGACAATAACAAACAGAATATTTGATTTGTGGAGAGACGGTGCAAGAACAAATTTCAATGGATTTCCTTTAAAATAAGAATCGTTTGTGATAAGCAATGATTGGCTTGTTACTCCTTTAACTAGAATATTCTGATTTATTAGTATCATCTTCAAGAAAAATGTTTAAAGAATGTTGGTCTGGGTAGACTTTAATCTGAGAATTTAGACTTTTATCTCTGAATAAAGAGCTGAAAGTCACAATTTGGATGTCAATCTCAGAAAACAGATTTTTTTCCCTTCTGAATTCTAAGATTAGGGACAGAGTTTATGTTTTTTTTTCCAGTTCCCCTAAATTCTATTTCACAGATTAAAGTGACATTTCACATGTTTAAGTCCCTCATTTCTTCAATCCAGGATTTGTCTAAAACAGATATAATCAGTTAGTTAAAACAAAAATACCAATTGGTCAAATCAAGATGTGATGTAGTATATCTAAGAAAATATATGGCATGTGAATAAATCTAGGTAAACTGTTGGATTTATTTAAGCTTTGTTAGATTTTTATTTTCAGAAAAGAGAAGGAAAAAAAGACATTTTCTCTGGACAATCCAGACCTGGAAAAGGATTTATCCAACTCTCATCTCTTATGAAAATGTCAGCAGGAGTTTGCATGTTTAAACCTATTTAACATGAACATAGTAAAACTTCCAGGGTGAACTTTACCATTTCATTGGAGCTCCATTTGTCATCACATGTAAGGTCATGTGTGTAGTTCACAGTCAGGTCACAGCAGGAGAATGCTGAAGTTTTGTCCTGTACCGGTGAGCTGCTGCTCACCGACACAGCAACTGCTGAGGAAACAGAAAAAAAGCAGCAGGTTGTAAATATGTTTTGAATTATATAAACTTATTTATGTGTGATTAAAAAATAATGACCCATTTACAGAAATCCAACAGCACCATCCAACTCATGACTGTTAGAGCTAATAGTTTTCTATTACTTTACCATAAGTAAAAGGAAATTATTTGCAATGTAAATTATTAGTGGTGAAACTGTTACTTGCACTAAGAAGGTGAACATATTTTCTCAGTGCATTCATGGTGGGTTGACCGGTTGCTCCAAATTGTGCTCAGGTATGAGTGTGTATGCATGTTATTGCACCATTTGTTTTTATGTTGCCCTATAGACTGGCAAACCTGACCAGGATGCAGGAGAAGTGAGGCACAGATCTTCTTAATTTTAAAACATCATACAGAACAGCTGCTGGTTATATTACCTGCAGTTCTTCTCAAACCTTTTATCAAAACATACTGACAGCAATAGTAAATCTAAAATGTGTATGTAAAAAAAACATCTTGTAAAACTGAGAAAAAAAATTCCTTACTCTGCACATCAACAGGGATCTTTTTTAACATGTGTTGCTTTATTTATGGAAGCCTGTTTCGCCATTCTGATAAAAAAAATCATTATAATGAGTCTCTTTTTTTAACCTTTTTTTTTATCAGAGTGGCGGAAAAGGGCTTCCATTGTTATTTGTAGTATCGAAACTCTTGTTTATTTTTTTAAGTTCCTAGTAAATCTTGGGAAGTTTTTACGTCTCAACGCGTGTTTGTCTAACCAAAGCAGTTGCATCACTGCGGGAAATCCCTGACAGCTTTCATCTAACTACATGTTTTCCCTTACGGCTGGAAATCCCCCACGTAGAGTACGGGGAATACCTGTACAGGCAACTTTCACTTTCATTCAGCCGAATGTTGTTATTATTATCATCAATATGATTATTATAAAACCGTAAATATGTTTTCTAAATGAATTGCTTTACTATCTTGTCCTTTTAATTATAGAAACATCGACTGTCGCGGTATAAAGATGGATTCATACAGTCTTCAGGTGCCACCTCCCAGACCCACCCTCGCCTTCACGCTGTTTCTAAACCGTATATCAGATTATCATTTTCTGTTTTCTACACAATCTGTTACGTCCTCTCTAAATACTTTATAATTTAAGAGTATGTGCAAAAAAAAACAACAAAAAAAACATTTGAAACGTGCGGATTTTAATTTATCGCAAAGTTGGTGATGACACTTAAATCAATGATAAGTAGACAGTTAAATTTAATAAAGACTGATAGTGATACTCACTTGTAACAACCATTATGCCCACCAAATTAGCCATGCTGTAGTAGTCTGTTAAATCAGCGTAGTAAACCGATCCCGCTACCGGCTAATGGAACTCCGCACTGGAAGCGATATCATCCCTTCCGGGTTTCTTGCGCCGGTGAAGGCGTGTAGGCGGAGTTTTCTCTGACGGGCACACAGTAGAGCCAATGTTTGAAATGACAGACAAATCAATGTTGCTTCCAGACTAGAATCAAAACTAAACTATCCTTTAAATTAAGTAATACATGTAAGTAAGCAAATATTTAAAAATAAAATTAATTTAGAGTACCTTACAGGGCACAAAAAGAAAAATAATCACAACTGGATAGAATCCAGTCTGTTTTAAATGGATTGGATTTTAGCTGGCTAATAATAATTAAAAAAAAAAGTCCACACATCTCAGTCAGATTTAGAGTTTCAACAATTCTGTCACTTTTTTTTTTTGTTGTTGTTTTCAGACACTTAGTAAATCCAGGGTCCAGTGGCAGGAGTTTGCATGTTTAAACCTATTTAACATATGTTAAATAGGTTTCCCCAGAGCCCCATAGCTAAGAATTAATTCATTAATCATTAATTCATCTTACATTTCTTCTAAATTAACAAACAACAAAATTCAAACTTGACTATTCAGAGGGTCATCTGCAGCAGGATGGATTTGCTTATCATTTTCTAATGTTTATGTTGTCATCAGATGATAAAAATTCATCTGCAGTTATTTCTAAGTCTAAAATAAAATCCACGATGTAAAAACAAGCAAAAAAGTAATAATCTAAAATAAGGAAGTGGGAGGAGCACCATCTAGATATAAAGAAACATCAGCGCCCTGGATGTCAGTCTGCGTTTCTCCGACTGTTAACCATTGTTTGGACTCCGCGTCTCTCATCTACTCATGAACATGATGACTCCACACCTGCTGTGTGTTCCTCTGCTGCTGTCACTGGGTGAGTTTCTAATAGTTTTTGTCTTTATGTAACATCTCCAGTTTATTTACTTGAATTCAACATCGGAACACGCGTCTGTCATCCAAACTGAAAGGAAAACGTACTGACGTACAGTTTTCCTCTCTTCTACCCGTCAGTGTGTTCGGCATCCAGCAGAGCTGTCAACGAAGACATGCTGGAGGTTTTCACTCTCTCTGATCAGGACTCTGTCCTGAGGTGCACCGCCAGACAAATACCCGGGGTGCAGTACAGCGCCGTGAGGTGGTACAAGGTAAGAACATCCGCTTATTCAAACCTTTTCTTCAAGAGCTGCAGATTTCCGAGTGGGAAAATCCACGCCTGTCATTACCGAACTGCTGCTGGTTTCAGTTTGATTTCCTTTAAAAGCTTCGTGTGTTACTGGAAACAGCTGGGGCAAATAAACCTGAGCTGGCAGAATTAGAAGAACAGCGGTAGTCTGGATTATTGAAGCCTGTTTGTTGTGAGCCAGAATGAAACAGCAGCAGTAGTTTATACTGTAAACTGGTTGTTAAGCTGTTATAGTTCACTGTTTACTGCTGTCTGTTTATTATTAAGCTTATTAAGTTTACCAGACCATATCAGTTTAACGATTACAGTTTAGTTCATAATCTGGCAAACATGTTAGAAATACTTTAGGGTAAAACTAACAAAAAAATATACATTTTATAAACATTACAAATTGACATAACTAATCAAAAATGTTTCATCACTGGTTTATTGATTATTTAAAAGATGACAGCCTTTATTGATCAGAATATTCATTTTTGACCTCATAAAGGATTACCAGCATTAGAGTAATGTAATATATTATTGATTTATTGTAAGCATATAATAAACCTGTAACTCAAGTATTTAATTAAGAAAATAAGTCAAATAAGAACAACATATCTAAGTGCAAATTGGTCTATGCAAAAGTTTTAAACCACTCCTTTTTTAAGAATATATATTTAGGATACTAAAGTACAAACTTGACATAACCTGAGAAATGTGTCATCCTTTACTTTATTGTAGAATGTTTTCTACTATTAACTTTCTGAATGAACTGTTAAAGCTAAAAAAACATTTATCTTCTCTACTTTTCAAAGATTCACACAGGAACAAATTGGTTCCTGAAGACTAGTTGGTAACAAAGAGCCTACAGATCCAATTTCAAATTGATTCTTTGCTGAGTTTTCAGCATACCAGTAAGCCGGGAAGCATTTTATTGGCAGGACAGTTTGTAAGTCAGGGTTCACTGGCAGTAAAATGTTCCTTTGAAAATGGGTGAAAAGCAGCTGATGTCCAATAAAAACTTGAATAGCCTTCAGAAAATGTTATAAAATATTGTTACACCCTAGGGCAGTTTAAGGATTACAGAGCTGGCCTACCTACTTAAATCTATAAATAACAAAAGATAAAGAAAAAACATGTAACAAGTTTTGCTATGGCTTCACAGGTTGGAAGTGACTCGTCTCATCAGCGCAATGGCCTTCTGGCCAAAAGCCTCCCAAATGGCACCACCAGATGGTACAAAGATGTGACCAGGAAGGTGGAGCTGCAGGATGAATCCCTTGACCTCGTCCTGCCCAACGTGACGTGCTGTGACAGTGGAGAGTACCTGTGTTTTCTGGCTGCACCTGTGGGACAGCAGAACCAGGAGGGGAAAGTTCTGCTCACACTGCCAGGTAAAAAGAAGTCCCCTCATGGTGAAGTGGGTCCTTGTGGTTTCCAAATCAGACTCTTTTAGACAGAAAAATATCTTCCTGTATAAAGAGGTTAAAGTTGTATGCAAAGCCCCAATTAGCTTTTAACCCTTTTTAATACATGTAGAGCGTTTGGTGCTAAAATCATTGCTACTATTTTTAATAACTTGTGATAATCACTACATTTATCCCTAACGTGGAAGGTTCTAAGCGTTTCTCTCTGTTTCCTTCTCTAGATTGTCCTGCTGAAGCCACAGAATCTCCCATTGGACCTGCAACCCCTTTGCTGACAGATACAGTCATGGTTATTTTTGCCTCCATGCTGCTGGTGCTCGCACTTCTCATTTCCTTTTTGAGCTATGTAAGTGATAAAAAAAAAAAAAATCTCTAATTGTACCTTCACTTTGTTTAATTTTTATCTTCTATTTACTTGTGATCCTCATTTATTCCTGATCTAAATGAGTTTTCTTTTCTCCCTCCATAGAAATGTTTGAAGAATACAGTCAAGGACAGAAATCAGGTAGCCAAGAAAGAAATCTTGCTGAACGCACCGCTCAAGCCGCTGGAAAAGAAGGACTTGATGCTGATTTACACTTTGGGTCCCAAACTGTCCAAGTTGCAACATATTTGTGTCTGAAGACTGTCTGAGAAAGATGTGACAAAATCCACCTCCTCTGAGGCAGCAAAAATGCAAGAAAGGAAGAAGGATCTATGGAGATCAAAGTGCCTGCTGGATCCAGGATGCTTGGGCTGCTCCAGTTCAGGCCAGAAAGATGCACAGCCAGCTGTTGTTGCTTGGACGCGCCGTGCCTCAGTTAAAAAAACAATATAAATGCACTATTAGCCGCTTCATACGCAGGACGTTTCATGGCTAACATCTATACACTGGTGGAAGCTCTGTTCTTGTCAGACTGTTATTCTTACTGTGGTGTTTATGTTCCAAAACTGGTGCTGATCATTTCATCCTTTCACCATTTCATACCTTTAAAAAATATATTTTTTTCAACCATTCATCAAGGGGACAATTCATCCCAGTTTTTCATGGCTGGTGACTTAAATCTATTTTATTTTATATTCAACTAATATGCTTTACAGTAAAGAAATGTAGTATTATTACTCTAGTAATTAATATCTACCAACAAGAAGTCAGTTTAGTTGGTATTCAGGACAATCCAATAAAATAATTTGTGAGATTGGAGCATTTTTATCACAATTTGTCCCCATAATTTAAGGAAATACTTTAGTAGTGTGGGGAAAAGATCGATTTACTGCAATTTAACTACATGTAAACAAAATGGTTTGCTTAAAGGTATGAAATGGAAAAACGAGGGGTAGAAATGATAACATTTAGGTATGAAAGGGGGAGTTAAAGCAGAGTTATACTAAACAGTCTTTCTTTATTTTACTTTAAAGCTATTGATTTTATGAAAATGTTTAACTGAAATTATGCTAAACAAAGAAAATAAAAAAACTTTAGAGAAACACTAGTTGACAAATATATGCTTTTCATTGTTGTGGGATTACTGTGAGTTGACTGTATGTTGGTAAAAGCTGCTCCTGAGCCATTCCAGAACTCAGAACTTGATAACTGAGTTCTAGTTTTATGTTCTCATATTGTGTGTGTGTGCAAAGGTGTGAAAGGTACATTATTTATTAAAACTGGATCTGATTACAGCGTGTTTCAGGCTTTAGTGTTCATGTTCTTCTTCATGTTTGTGGATTGTTTTGTTGGTGCAGATGGGAAAAGCATGAAACTATGAGGGGGCGAACCAGACTAGACTAACCTTTTAAATGCAGAACTGAAAAGTGGTGACATACAGAAACACCCACACTGTGTATAAATTTAACTCTGGGGAAAGTTTTGGATGTTGGTCTCTTAGTTCTGGATTTTTCACGGGTTTGAAACTTTGAAAGCTATTGCCCTGGTTTAACCTTGCATGTTTTTGTACTTTGCCGAAGAAATAATGAAATGTTTGCTATTACTATTAGAAAGTCCAGTTAGGAAAGTAAAGTAACAGCAGAGGAACCTAGTATGTCATGTAATCAATACGTAAATGGAAAAATCCATCATAAGCCTTTTTAATCTTTCCGCTTGCTTCTTTAAACCAGAAATGGAAAAAGGAAGTAAGATAACACGCTGTGGCAGCTAATACTGTGACGTAGAATCTCTTACACATGTCATGTGCACTAGCACTTTTTGTTATGTTTGGCTTTTTACATTAAAATTGAAATAAAAACTTCAAGCTAAGTGTGGGTTTGTGTCAACTCTGTACATCTTCCAATGTTGGTATAATACTGAAAGATCCCTGGGCTACAGAAACAGTTTATTAAGCATACACTCATGTTAAAATTATTTAATAAAATTATTTAATTTACTAACTGGCAAGAAACCACCGTGACACTGATGCAGCAATGATGTAGGTGTCCTGGAAAGTTCATAAAACTGCTAAAAAAACTTCATAAAACCCATAATAACAAAGTGTCAGATGTTCAACATATCAGTGACACACTGTACCTCAAGCAACTTCTGATATCTGTGGTTCAGTAGTGGCTTAACAACACGATGAATTCAACAGTTGTAGCCGATGTTCGTGACACTCTGTGTGTGCTTGTTTCTTGAGGCACTGACTATAATCGTAGTCCACACCTTGAGAATCTTCCACAAACTCTTGAATTTGAATGGTTTTGATTCATAGTACTCAAAAAGGCAGTTGCTTCTAAACTTCCTGAAGAATATTTTGGTTATTATTTTTGCATGTATGATAATTATATTCCTGTGAAAACCTGCACTGTTGATTCAATTGTTTTTTGTATCCTCCCAGTATCAATTTTGTTTTTTGACATGAAGAATTCTGGGTCATTTATTTCTAATGTGTTGTATAATATTGATTGATGAAAACATCACATTATTAATTTTAAATGAGAAGTTATGGTGACTACCTGCTTTTTCTTGTTAAGTTTACATGCAAGTGGATCATCTAATGCAGTGAAAAAGTTCTAGGCCTGTTTAGTCCGAGGACTGTTTGTTAAACAGTCACAGACCACCTAACCTGAAATTGCCCCGCAATAACACAACTTAATATATAATGCAACCTGAAATAAAAGTATTAGCTTCTCACTTGTTGTTTTCTTTGTTCATCCTAATGAGAAGAGTGTTGCCGTTTGGTATGTGACTGGTGTTAAGGAAGATATCTGAATTAATTAATTTTGGAAAAATGTTTGGCTCTCTCTCTTCCTCTGGATCCCAGGTCCTCTCGGCGAGCCACGTGTGGCCACAAGGAAAACAACAATGCGTGTTGACGTCACAGAATTACAGAGTTTAATCCAATATAAGACAATGCATAAACTTACCCCAGAAACTGCAGAACAACGGAGACATACATTCATTTACCTGACAGATTTGGAAAAGAAGGAAAGAAAGAAAAGCAAAGACGTGGAAAGACATCTTTGGAGAATTGCAAGAACAAATCTGATTTGTTACTTCTGTGTAGAAAGTTTTATCTTCTTTTCTTTAATTTATTCAAATAAGGCGTATCTTTGCTCATCCAACCAGGAGCTATCTCTGACCCTCTCTCAAGCCAGAAAACCCTCCCGTGTTTACGGCCTTTCACAGATGAGTGTGAAAAGCTACAACTTCTACTGTATTGTTTTCCCACACAGACAAAAGGCAGTTCAAACGATCCTAGCAAACCATCTGCTGTAACTACAGGTAAAATAAAGGTCAAAAAGCCAGAATATGTTACTAATTTCAAAACCACAATTAGGCCATTTGAATCAAGACATGTTAAGTTTTAAAACTAGCTTATTTTAAATTAATTTTCTCAACACTGGCCACGCCAAAGCCATGAACATGAAGACCCATCTACTTGGGCATGTTTGAGTTGAAATCTGCAGACCACAGTTTGAGGAGGACTGATCTAATGGAATGTATTCATCTTTTCTGAAGTAATAAATAAAATCGTGATAATAACAAACCTAACACAGATTAAAGAAAGATAATCCAATACAGAAAAAGAGGTTTATGTATAAAAATGAATTTATACGGAATATATGCCATTCAGTTGTCGTGGCCGAGTGGTTAAGGCGATGGACTAGAAATCCATTGGGGTCTCCCCGCGCAGGTTCGAATCCTGCCGACAACGACGTTTTCTCTTTTTCCCACAACAGAAAATGCTTCTTTCCTTTCACGGTTATCTTGATTGCCCGTTAGCACCTTAGTTTAAATGAATTTTCAACTAATCAATCTGTAACAGTACTTCCTGTTTGATTTTCAAAATAAAATCTGCCACAGATTACAAAAATAAGTAATGCGCCTTTGGCATAATTTTTTAAAAAGCTGCTTTTTTACTGTTGGAACTATATAAATTCAATTACTCAAAGAAATTTGCAAAGAAATGTCTAACATTTCTTAATTATCTTTAATTTTGGCAATATTTTGAAGTAGCACTGTCATGTTAGTTCTGATTTGTTCTGTTTTTAGTCTTTTATTCCAAATTTCTTTGGTTAGGTTGAGGCATTAGCATGTTTCATGTTGGACAATTATTCCCTCTGGTTGTCCCTCTGGTTTTGGATGCTGTGCAGCTGGAAGCATGTTGTCTCTTAATTTTACTTTGGGACAGTTATGATGTTTAATCATAGTAACAATGTGTTGTTTTGTCAAGGTGACTATCTTAAAAGCTCCAATGGTACTCGGTAGTATTTAGTGTAATTCGATTTCTGCTTTTATTTTGAAGAGCATTTATTTTAGACTTTGGTCGAGTTCCGCTTTGTTACCTGGCAACGGCGAACGCTGAGATCGGTAATGGAAGCTGGCCTGTGAGCGCTGATCAGGCCCCGAAACTAACAGGGCCAAGACGAATACCTCATCATGGATGACGATGACCTGGATGAGCTGCTGGATGAAGTGGAAAAAAAGTTCTGTAGCAAAGCTTCTGCAGCGTCTTCCGGTGTAAGACGTAGCAAAGACGAAAATAAACAGGAAAAATGGAGGTAAACAAAGCTACTTTTGCTAGCACATGTTCGTTGGTAGCAAATAAACATCACTTAAACTCCCAATAATTGACCAACTTGTGTGTCAGTTTGACCTTAGTCCAGATAAATTATGTTTCTGCGGTTTTTGAGGTGAATGGGTCCTTTTGAATGTATGCAACAATAGAAATTTTAACTGCAAGTTGAGATCTGAAATCCTTAACCGCAAGAAATAAAGAAATGGCTTGAAATATTGCACTCTATTTGTGATGAATCCTTACTTTCTGAAATGAGGGACAACAAATATTGAACCTTTTATTATAGTCATATGTTTTGATGTACTTGTCAGCATAAATCTGAATATAGGAGCATTTAAATTAAGTGTAATTACATTGAAAATTAAATTTAATAACATAAATGCATTCATTCTATTGATTTTGATGATATGTTTCTCCAATAATTAGTGAACATTCTCTTTCTGACATTGTGTCCTCCACTTAGAAATTTACATTCATATCAAGCTTTTCCATTTTTGTCTATAAATAACAGTGCAAAAACTATCACAAATAAATTATTCTAAAAATGATTTCAACAAGTGCCAAACTTTTATAAGTTTCTCTTGTCATTCATTAACAACTTAAGAGTTAAAAATGTCTAAATCATTGAAGTCAGCAAAAAGTATTGGGATGTTTGCTAACTAGCTCAAAATTTGTTAAAACTCCTCTATTTCTGGAAAACCACTATTCATAAATCATGCAGATGGTATTCAGTAGTGCATACAGTAACATTTTGTTTTTGTGACTTAGTGCTGCAAAATGTGAGCCACATAAAAGCAGCGTTTCTGAGGACATTGATGCCCTTCTGGAGGAATTACTGGAGGATGATTACGACAGTTCTCCTCAGTCAAAGGTGGGCTTATGTCTGTAAAATATTTGTGACAGAGGTGCTTAGAGAATCATTTTAAATTATAAAAATAAAAGACAGTGTCTCCATAAATGCCACACCTAAGTTTATTTTATTGTTTGTGCTTTTTTAATGGTTTCTTAGAAAAAAAAAATATTTTGCAGCATATTTTTTCTTTGCATTGAGCATGTAAAACTATTCCAAGAATTGTTACTAATTTCTTAAAATTCTTAATTGCACAAAGTGTTTTCACATGGCATGTTTCTTCTTTGGCTTTTCATGCAGCTTTTATCAAAATGTGACTTCCTGTGAAAGTTTGATTTAAAAACTATTTAGACGCAAGATAAACTAAACCAGTATTTCCCATCCCTGGTCCTCAAGGCTCACTGCCCAGCATGTTTTCGGTATTTCCTTGCTTCAGTCCAGCTGATTTCAATCGATGACTGATTAAAAGGGCATTTGCTGAACTGCAACCAGTTGAATTGGGCACATTAAAGCAGGGAAACCTCTAAAACATGTAGGACGGTGTCCCTTGAGGAATTGTTTTTAATCTCTTTCTTACTGTTCTTTTTCAGGGTGAACAGTTTTCTAAAAGAGAACAAGCAGAGAAGAAACTCTCATCACAGTCTGCTGGAAGAAAGTGAGTATTGTAGCTTGAATAAAAGAAAAAAAAAAGAAATGTTTACAAAAGAAGAAAAAATAAAGATGCTACTTTGAACATTTTTTTTTTCTGTATTGATGTTTTTATGAAAAACAAATTAAATTAACTGGGAAAAAAATATTTTAATGTTGAACCTGACTGAACGTGAGCACTGGACATCTCTGAGCCGTAGATTTTAATCTTATCTCTCATTTTCTACCAATAAAAACTTTTATTCTTGTTGCCGTGGCGACTTAAATTTTCCCTGCGGTGTATTTGTGTGTCACTTTGAGACATTCTGCGCTCTCCGTTCCGCTTCCAGGTGCTGTCCTGTTTTCATCGGTGGGAGCTCAGTCACAAACGGTGTTGGAACAGCCACTTCCAAAAGGTGTGAAAACATAAATTTATTGCAACAGCGTCTGAGTCTCATCTGCTTTGGATTTATCAAAACACAGAACCTCAGTGTCCTTGATTTCTTATCCCAGTTCATTCTGATTGTGCAGAATTTGCACTTTTCAACTATAATTCACTGATAAATAAAATGTGTTTCATAGAAGTTTATTAAAAAATCCATGACTGGTGGCGATATGTATGCATGAATAGGTCATGTGACCAGCTGAGGTGCATCTCCTGTGACTTCCGGGTTTTGATGTTTGACGATTCTGAATGGGACCCATCATGTGACTACCTGTTCCTCAGGTGAGTCTGAAGGCTTATTCAAATGCTTTTTTTACACATTTAATGGATATACTCCTAACATTTTAGACATTAGTATGCTATTCACCTTGAATGGTACATTTTGTTATTTCCATACCATACCATACCAACTTTATTTATAAAGCACTTTAAAACAACCACAGCTGATACAAAGTGCTGTACATTAAAACACAACATAACAATAAAAATAAATAAATAAAAACTCTTACAGTTTAAAAACAAACATGCATTACAAACATTATTGGTGGCTTATCTCAGATTTATAATACCCCAATTCCTAAAAGAATCCTCTGTAGTAAATTTAAAATTAATTTCAGATTATAAAACCCCAGTTAAAAACTTGTTTTCAGAAAGTTCCTAAGTGAAAAGTAAACTGCTGTTTTGGGTGACATTTTAGTTTTTGACCAAAAGGTGGCAGTATTTACCCGTGTGGATATTGTTTCCTTCCTTTAAAGTCCTTTAAAGCAAAGCATCGAAGATAAGAGGTTTAAAAGCTGTTTTTAAGAGGCGAGCATCTTTGTAAAAAAATAAATTAATAAATGTGAGAGCGTCATTAAGCTGCCCACATCCACATCAGGCCATGAGAGCTGCTGCTCTTTCCTCCTGATGGGAACAGTTCTGTAATCTGGACATCAGTGTGACCAGAATATAAACAAGCAGACTTCATGTTATTTCAAACCAGCTCACAGCGGCTTCCTTTTAAAACCACAACCATGCAATCTACCCTGGAAACTAATGAAGTCATTCCTTAGGTTCTTTTCCCAGTGATTTATGAATTGAGACAAAAATATTACATTACATTTTTGCCAGTTTTGGCCTTTTGTTGCATTACGTAAAACAACCAGGAACTGACTGAATAATACCAGGATCTAATTTGGTTTAGATGTCTGATTTGTGAAAAATTTGTCATTTTATTACCTTTTTTATATTTAGATTAACTTTTGTTCATATTTTATTTTAGTAGTAAAAGTAGATAATAAAATAAGGTATTTAGTTGCATTATTTAATAATTATGTTTTATTATTTCATACAATTTTTGAATTAAGTTTGGAAAGTGGTTTGAAATCAGGTTTAGTGTTACAAAGGGTGACAAACTGTGCAGTCTTAAGATAATTGGAAATGCAGCTAGTGTGACGATAATTTCCTACAAAAGGTCTTTTTCTTACTTCTTTATAATGTCTAATTCCTGATTCAGTGATTGCAGTTTGATCTTCCTTATAAAATCATTGCTACTCAGTGTCCAGCCACAGTTTTATCACCCAATTAGGTGATATGATTGATTAGCTCTCTGTAAATGAATTACGTTCTCAGTATAAAATCAGCAGCAGATTAAAACGTGACCGCACATTGAGGCCAGCATCACTCCCCTCTTCTGGTGCAGTTGACCCCAAGGTGATGGTCACATTGTTTGTAGATGTGCGTCACCCAGAGAGATAAGAACTGATTTAATGTGACACTGTCATTTGTTACAGTAACTGTGTTTGACAGGCCGCCATGGTCGGATGACAGAGGTGTGTCTAGGTGCTTCCAGAGGTTGATTAAATTCTGAGTGCAGAGTTTATTCTTTGTCCTCCTCTAGGTGAGACGTTTGCTTCCTGCTTGTCAAAACAGATCTGGATATTTTGCCCAGAGATTTAGTGGAGTTTTTAATTTAAGTCCTCTGATCAGGTTAGAAATATTGAAGCTTCTGGTGAATCTAATAATGTTTGATGTTGAAGGTTTTATTTCTTCTGGCTTCACTAAGCTGAGAAATATAGCCTGTTTTTTCATCCAACGGCAGCAACAAGTGATGGAAATGTGAGGCTTTTTAGTGTTTTTTGAAGAGTGAACGCAGCACATCGGGTTTTAAAGCCCGGACACGAAGACTCTGAAACTAACAGGGTGAAGCAGTCCTGACACAAAGAGACATGATGGATCTATTACACCTGTCTGCACGTTTGGCTGCTGTCTCATTTTCAGTGCTGCTATGTTCGGCTGACTCCCCTCATCTGGTCAAAAATAACATGAATGAATCATCGAATCCCCGCTCTCCCTGTTGTTTTTCTGCTCTGAGCACAAAGGGTAAAATGAGTTGATACTAGACAGGAAGAAGCTCCAGTCATCTCTAACACTGAACCTCTGCTGTTCATAACAGCAATCATTTTAGATGCATTGTGGAGAATTCATGAACTGTTTTACAACACATTATTTACTGTTCGACAATGTTGAAGCTGCCTGATTATTTTATGGAACTAATGGCCTTAATTCAACAGTAACTTGACCAAAATATTTGAGTTTTTAGTTTTTATATAAAATTCAATTCAGTTAAAAATACTTTATTAATCCCAAAAGATACCAAAACATTTAACTCATTAAATTAAAGATCCATCCATCCATCCAGATCTGTTGATCGAATGATGGATGGTCCATCCATCCATCCGTCTGTTCATATGTAGATCCATCTTATGAATGGGTGAATATGTATGACAAATATTGTATGTTAAAATTAGTTATTGTTCTTGACATGTTATTCTTACAGGCATGTTGTTTTGTAAAAGATTAAAGGAGTTGAAGTGTCTCTGCAGCAGACGGCTGTTTTCTGGGAGTCAGTCACAGAAATGGTCCTTGGAGACATCTGACAGCTAAAACAGCTGAAATGAACTGCCACCTCCTGTGCTTTAGTACTTCAGCTCCCTCCACAAACCCATACGGATGTTTTTTTGTTCCTTTTATGGAACAAAACTCATTTTAAAATGTTGATTTGATTGCATCTTGTGATGGTCTGAATTACAATCAAGTTATTGTCTGGCAACCCCAGTTAGTGTTGCTCTTTGAATCACAGTTTGAGATGCGCCAAACGGTGATCATTTCAAACATCTGAACAAAATAGGTTTAATTCAAATGGGAACATTCTCTTTATTTTGTAGGGGGAAAACTATAATAAAGAAAAGACATTGGTAAAATTTGGATGAAGTTGTTAAAGTTACTTTTTGTTGTCAGCCTGTTGTAGTTCAGAAAGAAAAGCCAAATCCACTGCTCTCTCATCTACCCAAGTCACACACATCATTTGACACCTTGACATTTATCGCTAACCTTTTTTCTGTATAGCACTGTGTGATTTTCTTTTTGTGCTACTGTAAGTTCAAAACACTCTGAGACACTCAGGAGCACTCAGGAGGATGAGTTTGGCCTTCTAGTTGTAATGTCAGTGGAATCACCCAGACAGAAAGCTGCAGCCGCAGCTCCAACCGCGAAACAAATAAACCAGACAGGACACGAAGAAGCTCTGTTTACCTCTTCAGCTTCATATCAACATCTAAACACACGTTCTTCCTCTCACATCTCACAGGTTTCTTCATGACTGATGTTGTCAGTTTTTGTAATTGAATAGAAACCCCCTTTATTTGCCTCCTGGTGGAGAAATCATCATGAGTTGGCAATAATAATAAAATAAAATAGAGACTGTAAAGTAAGGTGAAATTTGCAGATGGAGATTCTAAGAAATGTATACATGTATTTATATGTTGTAAAAACTTCTTAATTATGCTCTCTTGAAAACTTGGCTGTTTAAACAAGTGGAGGGACGTGTAATAACACATGTACACAGAGAATAAATCAGTTATCTGGATTACTAATTACTGTCACAATTACCAGCTTTTAGACAAATAAAGAAAGCTGTTTTAAAAACCCTTTTTGACTTTTACAAAAATAGGAAGTGATGTGGTGTGAAGTGTTTCTCTTTCTTTCAGAGAAATGAAAACATTCAAAACAGCATTTAGAGAAAAGCTTCACGGCTTAATGTTTGCTGTCTTGTCAACAGGTGAATATTTTTATTAACCAAGATGAAGTGGTTTTAATCTTTCATTAACAAAGAGAAAACAGAGATCATATCTATTGGGATTTAATTGGATTAAATTAAGTTGTAAATGTGTATTTTATCTAAGTGGTTTTGTTCAGGCAAATTATCCTCAACTGGCTGTAAAGCAGAGACAGGAAGAAGTAAAATCTGATGGGATTTAGCAATGAAACAGCTTTTTAATAAAAAAAAAAAAATCACACTTTCTTATTACACTAACATAAATTTACTCTATATTCATTCCCATTTCATTTTAAATATGCAGATGTGAGCTTTTTAAATCCAACTCAGGTGCTCTATGGGAGATCTCTAACTGGAACAGCTGCTTTCTTTAATCTCATGTTGATGGAAAAAGTTGCTGAAAAGCAGATTTACAGCTGTGATCTCCTGATGAAAACAGCTGGACTGAGGTTTAACGTCACTCTGTTCTTTATATCTTCTAATATTATTACACTGCTGATCTTTAAATCCAAAGGAGTTTATATTGGATAAAACAAATTTAGTCACGATTAAAATGTTTTGGTTAAAACAAGCTACGGCCTGTTTTCAGCACTTTGCTAAGCAATTATCCAATCAGCTGGTAATGTGGCAACAGAAACTGTGAAACTGTGCAGATAGCGTTCAGGAGCTTCAGCTAAAACATCAAGCGTCTTATTGGTGTTGCGGCTGCTGGCGGTGGGTCCAGAAATGAGCCTTTAACAGCGGGAATTAATGGACCTTAACTGCCTTTCATTAACAGTCCAGGCAGGTGGTGGTGAAAATAATTTTCACACACAGGTCTGGTTTCATTAAGGTTTTAATGCACTTCATCCTCTTTTACCATTTTAAACAGATACTTTTTGAGACTAAAACACGGAGCTGAAATGTGATGAAACCAAAAGAAGCTCAGACATTATAAAAGCTGTTTTTCATGTTTTAATCTATTGTTAAACATAATCTGGACTGATTTTAATCATAAATGCTCATTCACTGCAAAAACACAAAATCTTTCCAACTAGTTTTTTTTTTAATCTATTTTCTAGTGCAAATATCTCAGTACACTTGAAATAATATAAAACTAACTTACAAGTAATTTTTCAGAAAGCTATGGGAACTTATTAATTTTTTAATATTGATTTTAAAAAGTTCTAATTTTGGTGCTGTGGTGGCGCAGGGGCAAAGCACAACCCACGTATTGAGGCCTTGGTCCTCATGGTGGTGGTCGCAGGTTCGATTCCCGGCCTGGTGACATTTGTTGCATGTCAGAATGTTAATTTTCTTGTTGGCTGTGTTGAATAGGTAAAAAAACAAAACAAAACTTGATGACTGCATAACTATTATTGTGTGTTCAATGAGAAAATACTATTTGCTAAAATGAGCAGCCTGCATGTTGAGTGATTAAACTGCTGCCATTTTCTGTGTCTGCTGCAGGAACAACGTGCCGGACCGCCATAAGCTCCGAGCCAAGCTGAAGAAGAGGAAGGGTTTGCGGGCTTACGCCTGTCAGTGCAACTGGTTCTCCAGCTCAGAGACGACGGACCTCAGAAACCAGCCTCAGCTCAGATGGGTCTGTGGCAAACATCTGGACTGATGCTCACAGCAGGGAAACGTGCTGCTCTCACAGCATGGACCACAAATGGGAGCTGATGGCTTCTCAGACACATCTATTAAACCTGATGATGGAACTGAAACTGATTAGTCTGAGTAATGATGAGTTGGATGTGAAAACAGATAAGGGAATGTGTTTTGGATGCTGGAGTAAATCCAAACTGATAAAACCGGCAGCATAAATGAAACTTGGAGTCAGTTTTGTTAAACTCAGTTAACTGAAACAATCAAACAGCCACCTGAGGAGATCTAAAAATATGTTTTAAAACATCTAAGAACTCTTTGTTGGACTCCTCAGTGGTCCCAATATTGTCCTCTGTAGAATGTTTTTATCTTTTATTTAAGGTTCACTCACAGTTCATTGACACTAAATGTATAACAGGGATGCACCGATGTGAAAATTTGGGCCAATATCAATATCCGACCTGAACAGGGTTTATAAAATCTGAGAAGCTCCTTTGGAACATTTTAAAAGCAAATGAAAATTGTTGTAGTCTTAAGATTTATATTTGTCAAACAGCTAAATGAGAAACGTCATATTAAGTATCTTAATATTTTTAAATATTTTAGGCTAATGTAATAGAAAGACTTAGAGAAAAAAATATCTGAAGTAATTGATGTAGAAAATCTGTTGAGATGTGGAATATTTTTCAGTGTTTGAACTCATGAGATAAATATGAGAGAAATCTTTATTGTAATTCAGTTTGTGTTCATTTTGTGTTCTCTTTTTCTACATCCCAGAATATACATTTTCTCTTCTGTCCTCCCGTTTCATCATTGGAATCGCATTGTGAGTTGACTTCATCTCAAACAAAATTGATTGTGACCAATATTTAATCTTTTCTTTCTGGTTTCGGTCAGCCTTTGTTTCTCCTGAACTGTTAAATGCTTCATTATTCTGTCACTTACTTATTACTGTACTGAGCATGCTCAGTGCAGTTTCTGTCCCAAAATTAAAAACAGTGTTATCTCTTTAGTGAGAGGGAGCTGGAATATTAAATGTGCAACCATGGAAACAATAAAAAGGAGGTTCAGACCAAACAATCTTCAAGTAAGTCGACATGCAGATGAATTATTAAATCAGAGTAAAAACTTTTTAAAAAATTGAATAGTGTTTTTGTTTATTTCTGCTTTTAAGCAACTTCTCTAGTTTCCATCCTTTAAGCAATCATTTATTAATTGTAGTAATGCTTGATAATTAAATATGAATGTATTAATTTTCACATACAACATCATTACTGATGTTAGTGTTGCCAGCATATTTCATCAGTGACCTGAGGTTTTTATCAATCAATATTTAATCATAATTTAGAAAGAGTACTGAACCCAGAGAAAGAGTTAACCATCCTGTTAATGATTAAAGTCATTTAATAAAAGTTCATGTTTTTTATGTCATCACATCAGATAAAACTGAGAACAGCCTAATAAAATTTTATTCCATAATTTAAAGTCAAATCACACTTTAGTGTGATTACATTTTGACGATAAATATTGGCTCTTAGGAATGGAGATATTGCGTTTGCAAAGCAGACGGTGGAAAGCATTCTAGACTCTGTAAAACAAACGTAATCCAGCTTGAGATAAACTCAAATGAGAACCAAGGGATTTATACAAGCTGAAAAAAAATATTTTCACACCACCCGAAACTGAAAAACTTTTAATATTATGGATCAAAAAAATGAGATATGCTGCTAAGCTCAGCTTCCATTAGACTGAAACAAAACCGTAGAATTAAAAGAGGTTGAACTTGAGCAATGCTGAACATGAGGAACATTGAGTTTATGTTTCTGTCACTCTGCAGAGGAAGTGTCAGGACAGACGTACTTGTTGGTTGCTTTAATAAACAGATCATAAATAATTTAGAGCTAATCTCTACTTGTTCACATCAGAACTCCATCACATCCAAACATTTGTCAATAAAAGGAGACCAAAATCTATTTTTATTGCTAAGTGTTTTCTGACAAACTTTGTGCCTTCCAGCTGGTTAATTATTTTTCCTAAGTGATGTGTCAACAAGGAGGACAAACAAACAGAAAAGCCACATCACTTGCCTCCCACCTGTTGTGAGTGAATGCTCACTCCATCAGCTTGTTGATGTGCATCATTTCATTAGATGACCTATTTCCCAGCATTAGTATTCATCAGCCTGGCCGAGGTTGCACACTTGCACAGGCCGATTCGTCACGTTTTATTAACAGGCAAAGTGATGCTGAGGGAAGCTGTCTGAACTTTAGATTCAGAACACAGATTATTTGTAAAAAATATGAAGATTGTTCAAACCAGGATGAAGGACAAAGTCCATTCCTTGATTTGTATTTAACAAATATCTCTATTTTGGAGTAAATATGGGTTATGTAGTTTTTTTTAATGGATCCAACATTTTTTAGTCAATTTTGGACTGCTAGATTTTCTCGATTGCAGCTGCATACTCGAAGAGAAATCCACATCAAAAATATACTTTTTTCCCAGTTTTGACTGTGCCATATTTATTGCTGTCACTCAGTAATAGAAGTGTTGATTTTTAGCTCTTCCAAGTATTCTCTGGAGTGTTACTTTTATTTTGATACCAGAACCATTCAAATACACCTTGCAGTTCCTGAGATATATTGAATTCATTTTGGGGGAGTCATTTCAGAGTAAATCTCCAAAGAAAGATGCCCAGGCATCAGCAGCGGGTTAAGTAAACACTGTTTCAGCCTAAAGCCACAACAAATAACAGTAGAACAGCTTTGAGAGAAAAATATAAAATCTTCATGAATAAATATAAAACATAAAAAAATGATGAAAACAATGATTCTGATTAAAGATTCTTTTTCTTTTTGGGTTATGGGGTAAGTTTTTTATTTATGCTGTTAACTGGCTCATCTCATGGACAGTTGAACAATTCTCCTAACTCAGGAGGATAAAAGCTTTCCTGCTGCGACTACAGCAGCAGAAAGAAGTCTGTCAGATCTCAGTGATGTTAAAAACCAGCAGCAGCAGCTGATTTGACGCAGGATGTTGTGTTAAATTAGTTTTCTCAAAAAAGAAGCTAGAAGTTAAGACTAGTTTCCTATGTCAACTAGTGTGTGACTGCTTCTCTGAATATGCTGAAATATTTCAACACAGTCGTGACCGGGTCTCTGCTGGGACGACTAGTCTGATCTAATTTAAATTCACTCTTATCCAGTCAGAAAGGTCATAGGTTGCATTTACTGAGCTTGCTTATTCCCGTTTCGCTTCATATCCAGCAGGATGCTGCTTCCAAGAGACACACGTAGTCAAATAAATTATTTCTACAGTATCACAGTCCATGTTCATTCAAATAAAAAGCAAATAAAATACTTTTTTCAGTGACCAACCCATCTCACCCAAGGCTGTCTGATAAAGCTTTGGAAAGTGAAACTCACTTGTTATATACACGTTAAATATTTCAACACTTATTTCATGTAAATTTGATGATTAATGCTTGCAGGTTATGAAAACTCAAAATTCAGCATTCACATTACTTTTGAAAAAAGATGGTGTTACACCTTTATCAAATAATTCACTCAAAACATCTAAAAATGTTTCCTGAGCCTCTAAATGTGGTTGATTGGCTGGTGAACTGTCCTGACCTTTGACCCCACGAAGACTCTGTGGGGTGTTGTCAGGAGGAAGAAGAGAAAAACTCCTGGGCTTTCTGAACCTCAGCAGAACCACAGGCTGATCTTCTCCATGTTATAACGCACTCATACAGAAATTCATGCAAAAGGAGCCACAACCAAGAAAGAAAAAAAATGAGCATACATTTCAGAAGACTAATATTTCTGTTTAAAATGTAATTTTTATTGGTCTTATTTTATATCCTGGTCTTTTGAGACATTGAATTTCAGGTTGTTTTCACCTCTAAACCATAATCATTAAAATATTTAACTTTTTTTAGATGCACCTGCATGCATTCATGGAGGATTTTTATCATAATCCAGTTGAGTAAATTGGATTCTTTGTTTCTGACTTACCGAAAGTGACTCAGACTCTTGCCTGTCAGACAGCAGGAAGAGCAGAGTGATGAGGCTGCTGAAGAGGAGCAGGAGAGGAAGGAAAACAACAGCTGCAGTGATGGAGCGCTGCATGGCGTGGGCAGGAAGCTGTCACCAGCCTGTCCAGGAGAAAACTCAGGGCCAACAAGCACTGCAGTGAAATCATGGGTAGCATTGTTGCCAAAAGCATCATAAAAGCTTTTTTTCCCCCTGTCAACAGGTGAATTATTATGTAATCAAATCTGAAATTTCTGCACTGAAAGGAGAATAGCTGAAATCTTATCTAATAATCCTGTTATCTAAGGTAAGTAAATGCTTGAATCCTTAGTTTCTTGATTTTATTAAAAGCACAGTTTCACTCCAAATTCACATTAACCATTCATAAAAGTTTTTAATCCCTATATTTACATTCCTTGAAAATCCCTTAAAAATTAAAACAAATGACAGAAACTCAGCCAAAGCTGAACTCATTTTTTTACTAAACAGCTTTAAGTTAAAATATACCAGCCTCAAATCAAATATAGAGGCTGAATAATGAGCGTTTTATTGATTTTTTTCCAGTCTTATTGTAGAAAACTAAAGCTTATCTCTCCATGTCTGCAGCTGCAGGAGCTTTTCATTTCTATAGTTTCTTCCTGAGTTTATCTGAATCACACTGACTAATTAATGGTCTTTAATGCCATTTATAGAATCTGTGATTGCTCTTTTCTCATTAAACTCACTAAACAGAAATTAAGCATCAGCTAATTGTGCCTTATGCACCAAGTAGAATCTCCATGTCCTCATGTTTGTTCTTTAATAATAGAAAATATAATCTCAAAAATGTGAAGTTAGCTTTTTGAAGTTTTTTTTTTTTTTTTTTTTTGCTGCTTCTCTTTTAGTCTCTAAAAGCAGCAGAACATTTATTCAGTTCTGTAAAAAAGTATTTACTTTTATCTAATTTTCATCACATGAATTGTTTGGTGGGCAGCAAAAAAGGGCTCCCCTCAGTTTCCATTTATGATGCAAGAACTGCATCATAAATCATCCAACTGATACTGTAAATGACAAATTAGGTTTTCTAAAGTATTTTTGAATTTGAATTAGAATTTTCTCTGATTTTTGACCATATTAGAGATGTTAAAGTCAGAAGGTATTGTTTCTCTTTTAGAAAATTACAGCCAGATATAGGTATTAGAATTAGTTATAATTATTGGGGCTTGATTTGAAAATCGCTAACCGGGTATTAGCTGATACAGCTCAGTTTATATTTGTTTTGAAATAAATGCTGTTGTTTCTGATCCCATATTTGAATGGAGAAATGTTTTGTTTTTGAAACAAGATGTATACCTCATAATAAACTTAAGAGTGAAATTACCTTAAACCTATTAACCATCCACTAATAACCTTCCCCAGGAATGCTCAAGAAATAAGCTGTTTGTGTTTATTTAAAGGTAATAAAAAATAATGCTACCTAATAGCAATTTTTGCCATCAGGTGATATTATTTAATATATACATAGAATTTCCCAAAGAATGAAATTTTTATATTAAATAAAAATATTACGGTTGCAAATTTGCTGTGATAACATTTTTTGAAAAATTGAATGTCTCACTCAAGCAAATTTATTCTTTCCCTGTATGTAAACATTTGATGATTTTTTTTTTTTTTTTATCATTATTATTTTAAAACCTTTGTGGCTCCAAACATTCTCTAAAACAGTAAGAACTCCACACCAGCAGGTGGCGGTGCTGCTCTGCGGCCACTGGATAAAAAGTTACGGAAGCTGAGCGGAAACTGGTGGAGAAGCAAAAATGAAGCGCCTTTAAAGAGAGATGATGGGAGAGACAGAAGCTGTGGAGATTGATGATATTTTAGATGACTGGTTCATTGAGTCTTTGAAATCGTGAGAAAACTTTCATTCTTTATCAAACGGTCGGTTTTTGTCTGTGTTATCTGCCAGTGATGGAATGTCTTCTTCTAAATCCCCCAAAACATTTAAAATTTACACACTTGTAAGTTCAGGTGGTTTAAAAATGTTAACAACTTGCTCTAGGTATCAATTAGACATATATTTAAAATTCGGCTTCTTTATCTTAAACCAACGCGCATCGATGAGTCTACAATTTTAACTTAAGCTGCTTCACCTCCCATAATTATAACCAAATAACTGTTTCTTCCACTTATACAATCACGTAATACATTAATAAGCTTTCATTTGTGTCTTAATACACCCGGAAATAATATAAAATGAAATGGTGAATGCACGACAATCATAGTGCAACAAAAACAAATATTGTTCTTGAAAAACATTCCCATTTGAAATGGGCTTCTTCAGAACACCACTTAAAGTGTTTATAACTAAACTGCACATAGAAACTACATTTAATCATACATTTTAAATCTACTGATATTTATTTATTTATTTATTTATTTATTTACGGTGGAGTAAATAAAATTTCTGATATTACGGTAATATATATATTTTTACATACTTAGTTGAAATTTGTGAAAACAACAATAAAAATAACTCTTAGAAATGTTTCACAGTAAATGAAAACTGATGTGATAAATGCCCATCTCTATTAAAAATAGCACACCCCGATCAAATGAAAGGTACTCTGGAGTAGAATAACTTCAGAATATATTTATAAGGCGCACACATTTGTGCACAGAAAGCAGCAGACCAGAACCAACCTGTAGTCTCGTCATGTGAAGTAATGTCCTGCTGGGTTTCTTGGTCTATTCTAGTCTGTTCTGGTTCCTCTAGATATAAGGATCTTCATGTGTACCAGCTGGAACATCCCACTCAAATCATCGAGTGGACGTCTGGAAAGAGTGAGTGGATTATATAATGTGGCAAAAATATTCACTTCTGAACATAAAAAGAGACAGACCATGGAAGAAGTTCTCTTTGTATGAAATCCTGGTCATGAAACATAACATACAAATACTGCGAGGTGAAATGAAAACGATATGCATGTCACTTTTCAGATTTGTATTTGTAAAAAATGTTCCAGAGAAGTGATCTGCTTTCTTTTACTTCACAATTTTTGTTGGTCGATAAAAAATTCCCCCAAAAAACATCCAGTTTATGACTAAAGTGATAAAATGTTTTTTTTTTTTTTTTAAATGGTCCAAAGGGTGTGAATATTTCTGTAAATCACAGTTTCTCTTCTGTGTTTTAAGCCGTTTGTGTTGCTGGATACAGCTCGGGTAAAAATGAAATCTTGGAGCTCCGCCTGCCGCTGAAACTTTTAGCCGATGAAAAAAAGGTAAAAAAATAAATAACTAAATAACATGCATGAATGGTCTTTGTTTGATTTTTATAAGCAGTTTTCCAGATATCGATAAACGTTTGCTTGGTCTGATGTGTTCAGAGTCTCTGTGCAGAGAGGGACTTCAAAGTTGTCCATGGCGGTTTCTCAGAAGGCCCAGTTTGCTGCCTCACACACATTCCAGGAACCAGGTCGGTTCTGACTCTTTCATCACCTTTAAAATGCTGAGCTGTAACTTTTCTCTTCTTCCTGCTGATGTTTTAGCTCTGTGATGTGTGACGGTTTCAAAGCTTCTGGGAATTTTCTTTGAGGCAAATGTAAATTGATTAATTCTATGGAAGAAAGTCATAATTAAGTAGAAATCTAATTAAAACAGAAGCAGAGATTTAAACTGAGTACAAAGGCTTTCTGTCAAACAATAGGATAAGCCATTAATTCTTATTTAAGCAGCTTAATGCACAATATAAAATAACAAATATTCCTAAGGTGGGATAAATACACTTCTACAACCTTCTTTTTATATTTAAAGTGTTTTTAGCTTACTTTTTTTATACATTTAGACACATTTCTATAAATTAGAATATCAGTCAAAAGTTTATTTCAGTAATTCAGTTCAAAAAGTGAAATTTGGATGGATTCTTCACCCGCAGATTGATACCAGGACTAGTAATCTATGATGAAAACCCCAAATCTAGTTCCTCAGTATTCCTGTCATGATAATACATTTTTCTGGATGATAATTATCCCAGAAATTATTGTGAAAAATGATAAAATTGTTCTTTTGGGCCATTTTCATGTAATATAATAACATTGTAAGCTTGCCCTTGCAAAGATTGATAAACTTTAATTTCTAATGAACATTTAAAATTGGATCTAGAAGACATTTTAAATATCAAAAATAAATGAACAAAACAATAATGCAGTTTCTTTAAACAGAATTGTCTTTCAAAAAGGGAACTACTTGAGACGAAAGCACCAGACTGAAGACTTTAGCCCAACAGTCTGTGGTAGAAAGAGAGAGAGCCACGAGAAATTAACCAGCTCGTTTTAACTGATCATGTGGTTAACTGATTTATTTTAAGGTAACCTCTTTGCCATCTAGTTTTTTAATAGATCATGATCTCATGATTTAGAAGACTGTCGTTCTGCCAGGTGTGTGGTGACCAACGACGGGTTGACCTCTGACCTGCAGCTGTGGGACCTCGGCGCTGACGACACTGGTGAGTTTTAGTTTACGTAAAACTCTTCATTGACACAACATGACTTAAAAATAATCTAACTTGACTATTAGTAGTTTCAGTGCCAAGATGTCACCACATAAAGCAGTGTAATTCTTCAAACTATTACAGATCATCAGTTAAGATAGCGCTGCTTTACGTTAAAAAAATTAAACCTTTGTGAATAAACCCCAGCAGGATTATAGATTTTATTCCAATCATGGGAAATACAGAATTTTAATAGAAAATGTTACCTACGTCATTTACAGCCCTGAAAGCATGACATTGATGGTGAGTTTCATATTGGAAAATATTCATAAAACATTTCATGCATTCAGAATTAAAGCTTTTTCTCTTGTTGCTGTGAAAAGATGAAAATATTCAACACTTTAAATACTCTTATGCGCACAAAGTGTCCTTGTTTTTTTATGAAGAGGGTTAGAAGAGAAGATCTCTAATTGACACAAAGGTCCACATTTCTTCCTTTAAGATGCTCCTAATTTTGCATCTATAATTATAGAAGTCATGTTTATGACTTATATAATTATGTCAATAGTCCTGCAAACACTAATATTTTATTTTAAGCACAACTTTCTTCAGAATAAAACTTCATCAGTTTCTTTAAGCCCTTATGGACTAGTGATTTGAATTAGCATCATACCTTTCACTGAGAATACAGCCAAAAAGAAGTTTGAATCCTACAAATGTTGGTTGATAGATCTGTCTCTTTTGTTAAGGTTGCTATCAGAAATGCTTTAATACAAACCTAGTGGTCAACGTGTGAACTACATGTGGTTCATGGAGTGAAAGTGCTTGGATAAACTCAGTAAATAATCTTATCCTTGAGCAATAAAAATAAATTTAGGTTGACTATTGCCTTCTACAATGGATATATCACAAAAGAAAACCTGTAACCAACATTCTAAACTTTGTTTCTAATTTTGAGTTTCAGGTTCTTTAGATACACAAGGCAACAAAGGAATGAAAATAAGAAGCAATACAAAATGTTGGTATGTTGAAAAAGTAAATTGTGTGATTATCCAAATTTGAATCAAATGATTACTTTAGATTACAAAAACTAATATTAATATTGATGAAATAAATGATTATTTTCATGAGTATATACCCTAATACAATACAATATTTGTCAGGAAACAAGGGATAAAAGCTTCTAGGACAGTAGAAAGAATGTTTCAGTATTTAGCAACAGTAAAATAATAAACATACTGAGATGGAACAATGTTTCATTCTTTTAGTGCCTTGTGGATCCAATTAGCAATTAGCTAATTAGCAAGTTACACTAACAGTGAGTGCAAGGCCCAAATTTATGACTTCTAAATAATTTAACATCTGATTGACAGCATTCTGGGTAAATACAACCAAAACAAGGACAAGGACATGTGTTTTGCCAAAGACGAGGAATCCTGCACCTACTAAAATCTGAGGCCACTCCATCTTTGATTACATTTTTGCTTTCAGTGTCTTCTTCAGATGTTTTTGTGTCATTCCCTTCAGTAGTTCTTGGTGCAGCGCCCCCACAGTCGAGGAGGTGAACGAGTTGCTGAGAGGGTTTGATTGGTGTGCAGTGTGAAAGAGAACAGCAGCTGAAACTTTTCGGTTCCCAATCCAATCGAGTCTACCGGACTATATGGTGTGAAAACACCTTAAAACAATCAATATAATATAAGTAGAATCAGGACAAGCAGGTCCAATTCCTATCCAGTTATATGTAGAATATTATTTATGATAATAATAATAATAATCTGACACCACTGTCTGCTGACTTCCTGTGCCAGATGTGATCAGGAAAACAGGAAGTCTCCAGGGGACGAGCGTTTCTCAGGCCGGCAGCAGGATCGCAGCGCGACTCTCCTCACCGCCTCAAGTCCTTCATGGAGCTCAGAGCAGCAGCGTCCAGCTGACCCAGCTCGGCACAGGGCAGACTCTCTATAGACTCGGTACACCACTGAACCTCCACCTGCAGCTGAAGGTCATGTCAGTTTCAGGGTTTGATGCTCTTATCTTCCAACAGAGGTCGACTCGACAGAACCTCTGAGCTCCTTAAAGTTTGTGAGTGAGACGGCGTTCCTCGCCAGCTGCTGTGACGGCACCGTTTACCTCGCAGACACTCGGACGTCCGCTCCTCCTCAGGCTTCACCTCCACCCGGGGAATGCGCCCTATGGTGGACAGACGCCTCTGCAGCGCCGCAGTGTAGTGTCATCAGGCTTTCCTCCTCTGGTCAGGCCGTCGTTTCAGACCTCAGGAATCTGGGAGGAGCCCTGTGTCGGGCTCAGCTGGATGTCCAGACGTCGCCAAGGAAACCGGAGGATGTCACAGTGGCGTGGGCTCCAGCATTGGACGGCTGCTTCTCAGTGTCAGGTTGGTTAATGCACACACTGTAACAACTATTATTTACCAGCTGAATCAGAAAGTTCTGAGTAAAAATACAGTAAATTTCTGCTAATTTTGGCCAAAATATTTCATTTTTCATGTATTCTCTGATCAGATGCTAGCTTTAGCTTTTACGTTTCCCAGCTTCCTGAGAGAGAAAATACTTTATTATAAAAGACTAAGCATTTTAATTATAATCTAATGTTGAGTAAGCATTTTTTTTTACCTCTTTGTTACTTTAATGCATTTCTTCCCCTTGAAAAGCAGTTTCAGTAACCTAAGATGGATCCTTTATTCACTGAAATTGGTTGAAAAACCTTCAGATGCAGGTGACTGTTTAATCTAGTAGCATGTCTAATGTCACTGTGACATAAAAAGCTAAATTTAATATAGGAGAGAGAAAGTTAAATAATTATGCATCATCATCATCATCAGCCAATTTTTTCTTTTATCAGGACGGATGAGTTTTGGTTTTTCAGCTCAATGTGACATTTTACTGGTTTTAGAGCCTCTTTGAATCTGATTCCTTTAACTTCTCAGTCCCTCCAGGGAGTTGCAATCAAATTGTTAATGCAATCATTTGCAAATTTTCTACAGTTATCGCAACTTTTCCGCAAGACTGACCAATCAGCGTAATGTTTCCTGGACTACCTTCTTGTCGGATTCGTCACTCCAACTAAGCGGATTTTTGACCAATCGCCTCCCTTTAGTTTAACTTCCTGTTTCACAACGTCTTTTGAAAGGTGAACCTGCATGCAAGCAAAAACCATTTTGATATGTTCTATGAAATCAGTCCATGTTAACCTGAATGACCAGTATGGAATTATTCTTTTACATTTTTAACAACTCATGATTTTGTCTTTAATAACGGTGTTATTTCAGGAAGGCGCTTGAAAATGTTATTTGCACTTTAAATATTAACTATGTCAATACCTCTTTTAGGAATTTTATGTGCAGCAACTTTAACATTTTGGAAGACTGTCATGGCAAAAATAAAACTTAGGGGAAAAAAATCACAATGCAACCCTTTGCCACACAATCACAAAAAAGTTTAATAGAATCTGTTTGAGTGCCCCTCATCATTTAAATTACACTGAGCCTCCAGAACATGTCATTGGAGCAGAACCAGATTGGGTCTGATCTCAGGTTCTCTCTCTCCTCTCCAGGTCTCAGTGGACTCGTTCAGATTTACGACTCCGCCGGATGGAGGGCGGAGCCGCAGGACGCCTCGCCGCTGTTCCAGCACGCCGGTCATTCGGTTTCCTCGCAGCACGGCGATGGCTCCGCCCCCGTCTTCATCACCACCCATGTCTGGCATCCCGAGCGGCCGAGGACGGTGCTGTCTGCGGCTTCAGACGGGTCCATCCACGTTTGGGACTGGGTGGATCCACAAACAAACTGAGCTTCCAGGAAGTACAGATCCCTGATCTGAAGAAATGTCATTCAGGATGAGGAATGAACGCTGGGTTCATTTCTGATGCAGAACACACTGTGTGGATTTCAGTCCAACCTATTTCCTCTGTGTGATGAGATGAGTTCATATTAATGAAAAATGCGATCAGCACTGCCTTTGTAAATTAAAGATAGATTGAAATGACAGCTGTTCGTGGTAACTCATTTAAATCCAGACTGAGGTATGATGGAATATGTTTATCCTGCCGCTTTTATTTCCCGGATGAAATGTTTCCACCCATAGAGGTTGGAAAGCGCTCTGATTTTTCCAGTACATATTTTAGACTCTCCCAGATCTTCTACCCTAAATCTCATTAAAAACACATTTATCTCCGAAATTAAGTCAATTTATGCTATTAAAAGTAATTTTATTCCTGATGAATGAGGCTTCCACCTACATTTATTTTTGTTTTTACAGAAACTTACCAGCATAACCACTCAAGATCTGGGCAAAACTCTTCTTGCACCAAACTTTCCATGAATGTTCTTTTAAATCGTTCTGTATGCTTTTAGATACGAGTTTTGCTTTTCAGTTGATGTTGGAATAAATGTTGGATGAGGAATTCAAATTTGAAGAAGAATTTGAACTTTGTTTTGTGCCTCCTGATCATGTTTTCTGTCCTCAGCGGCTGATAGATCATCACCTCTGCAGGTTATAGTGAGGTCGATCAGATCAGACGCTGCAGACTGAGGAGCAGCAGAACACCTGCAAATATAGAAGTAACAAAAAATCTGAAAAAGAATAAAGATGTTTATCCTGGTTTACTATTTTTTCATAGTTTCTGCTCTTATGTTCCATTTTAATAACAGAAACTGAACCATAGAAACTGCCTTCATAGACTGAAAGTTTTAATTAATATATTAGATGCACTACATGTATGATTATTTAATGTCAATATTTATTTTTGAAATAAAAAATTCTGCACTGTATTTTATAAAAGGCAAGTGCATAATTAAAAAAAAGACTTCCATGTAAAATTAGCCTGCTTTTAATAACTTTAATTACTAGTCCATTCATTGAATGCATTCAAGGCCGTCTCTTTCAAATATATCTTTCTTTTCATGGTTTACTGAATAGTGTTGGGATTAAATATGCAGAATATTATCTTAGCATTTTCTTTTCTGCAAAGCTCAACATTTCCCATATTTACCCGTTGGCTGGAATTTAGTCCCAGGGTAAAATCTGCAAGTTCACAGAGGTTAATGTGTGAATTTTGACTCATCAGTGGAAATCAAATATTTCAGCTACATTGATGATGTTGATGAGAAAAGGGGAAATTCTGCCTCTACATCTATTGGAGATGAAACAAAAACACTGCACTGTAAATATAACAAATAATTACATAGTGAAAATAAACTAAAAGTTAAGTGTTTACAACCTATTTCTTTATACTTTTTATAATACAAGACTTTTAATTTAAAATTTCAAGAAGATACTTTAAATTTAATGGCAAAGATCAATGAAAAAATAGATTCAGAAGAAAGGCTGCTTTTAGTTCCCTCTGTGTCGACACCACCACTGATTTAGAGATGCCAAACTTTTCAAAGCTGCTTCTGAGACACTTTCTATGCTGACAGAAACTCCCACAGAGACTCGTATAGTAAAAACAATACCGACCGCACAGTCACAGCCAGGAGAAATGGAAAACAAGCTGGACATCCGCAGACTCTTCACACTTTAACAGGCTACAACAAGACGAATGTACGTTTCCACCGCATTGCTGCCCACAGCTCCGGGGGAACTTAATTTCATACTTTACTGCCTCCTTTTCTCACCTCGTGTCTTCAGACTCACCTCCAGCTCTAATGTCGCCACATAATGACAGCAGCTCCGCTTGGGAGCAAACTCCTGCACCTCGGTGGCTTTTACCGCCCACCAGAGTTGAGCACATTTCATTCACGTAAAACACAAAAACACTTCCCTCTGGTCCTACAAACTGATGACATTTTATACTGAAAGAATGAGAAACAGAAACTTGTCAAATCACAGCTTTTATTAACCTTTAGCTTCTTCTTAAATCAGTTTAGGTTTTTTTCCCCCACCAAACCTTTTGAACTGATTTCTAAGTAATTATAGGTACAATGTCTTGCTCTAGGACAAATTGAGCTGCTGAGCAATTTGACCTGACCTTCCCACTGGAAGAAGACCGCTCTACGAAGAGTCAGCGCTAACTGTGTCTGGATAGCATTAAAACTGACCTCTGATTTGCCTCTAAAAGCATGACTCATTTTTAAAACCAAGTGCTAGAGGCGTGAATGAGTGGAAATCACAGCCTGCCTGGCACTTTCCTTCACATCATGTTGGGACCTGACCCGGTAACACAAACCACCGTTAGAGACAAACTCATTTTTCATGTAAAATATTGTTTCAGTCGCTGCATTTCCATTACAAATGTGCGCAAAACTTTGTCGATATTCTGCTAATGTAGAAAAAACACAATTTCGCACTTGCGGAGTTTCCATTAAATAAGAAATGAAATAAAAATCACATGTAAACAAGCTTGTTCACACAATAAGTCATTATGGCAGTGACAGATGTAGACATAGTTGTTCCTTTGCAGAAGAACTATGGATTTAACGATTTGGAATGAGACAACATTTTATGAACTGTGAGGAAGTCCCAGGCTCAAACTTCTGGTGGAGCCAGCTGCACACTGTCCAAAAAAAAGACACCATCTTACTTCCTGTTGTCTTCTTTGTCGTTTTCACCAATAGTAAGTTAGTAACATCCGGCTGCTGATCACATGACTCGTGTGATGTGCAAAAAAATGTTTCCATTGCAGTTTTGAAAAATACGCCTATTTGATATGACCAGAAAATCCCGTCATGCAAAACGCAAAAACTTTTTATCAAAAAAATTGGAAGTTAATCCTTCCACCATCAGAAAACAACTAAAAAGTCATATAATTTCTGGTAGGAGCTTTGCTACAGTGTTTTGAAGGGAGAAGTGAGCGGACAGCAGAGACTATAATTACACTGACTGACGGAACAGCGAGCCGCGCCACTGAACTCTCCCGTGGCCCGACGATGAGACGGCTATTATAAACAGATCTTCGCTAAACGGTGGTAATGACTCAGCTCACTTCTCTGAACTGTGAGGCGTCCAGATCGACGCTCTGCAGCTCCACGATGTCTGCCTGTGAACACAGGTTTGAATGGAAATGTGCCTTCATTCAGGAGGACACTTACGGCTTCCAAAATGACTGACAACCGCAAATTTACACAAACAAAGAATCAGCTTTTCCTTTTACTATATTTATGCAAATCGCATCACTTTTCAACATTTTCTAAATCAGTTTAGCAATTTACAAGATGGTGTCAGTGTGTTTTTATTCAAATGAAAACTGGAGATTAGTTGTTTTCATTTGGAAAAGCTATTGCAAGCGCTACTTAAAACTTTTTTTTCATATGAACAAACTATAATATTTGGTTATTTGAAAAGAAAAATTGTAATGAGACACGGCTTAATGGTTGGGTTTAGATGACAGTAAAAAGTTTGATTAAATGGACAAAAAATATTTTTTTTACCATGTGTTGAGTTACAAAAAAAAATAAAAAATCTTTTAATTAAAATGTTAACATTACTGTCACAAATGTTGACAAAAGACTGGGTCATTGACCATTGCTGGTTCTAGGTGAAGAGTAGAGTGACCTCAAAACAAAGTGCCTGAAAAGACTGAATAATTAATGAACCAATTATCATAACATTTCTCACCATAGATCAAAACGAGGACATTTTTTATTCAAACAGCTGAAAGGACAGATTTAATGAGACATTATTCTGATTGTAAAAAATAACATTTCAACAATAATAATATATCAGGAGCTGGTGCAGAAGGTCAGATGAAATTTCTTCACGTTTCATTTTGCATGAAAAACTGTCCCTGTTGGTCGATCACCATGTTAAAGCTGCAATACTAAGTTCTCCACAAACCAGCCATGTTTATAACATGACATTTCAACCATCTGTTCGTGTTTCAGTTAGAAACTTCTCCAACCACAGCAGTTTGGTCACAGTTAGGGAGAAATAAAAAAAGCGACTAAGTTTACTAAGTAAGGATGTCCTAATTGGACATTTTTTATCCCGGTTGCTGATCCGAGTTATTTAGGAACAAACATACAGAGATCCAGACAAACTGTTCTTTAATATCAGTGCAATGCAACCAGATCAGTCACTGTGTTTGCTGATATATGTATAGTAAATGACTAGAAGGTGCAGCAGAGTAAAAGAAAAACAAAGGTCATGTAATGCATGTATTTTTACTTGGTTTTGTTGTAACTCATTGATTATTTTGCTTGTAATATAATACAGTCCCTAATAACTGTGAACAGGCAAAAAGCAATTCTACTGCTTTACAGTGATTCTCTATGAGCAACATAAAGGTTGATGACGAGTTTTCAGCTGCTTGTTAAAAAGAAAGCTCATAATAACCAACACTTTATTAAAAGTTGCTATATTTTACTTAAAAGCAGCCAGTAGCCCTAGCTAAACTTAAAATATATATGGTCTTTAAATTATTTCCAAACTGGAGAAGGAAAACTTGATTATTTTTTATGTTAGATAATGAAGCTATCAGGAAAATAAAGATGCAATATGTACTTATAAATAATCTATAAGCAGCATTTATTCAGTTTGAACGGAGCATGTTTTAAACTGAAATGGGCTTTCGAGCTGATTTTCAGTCTATCCACACCCTGAAAAGGTCACACATGCTGCACAGCTCCTTTTTTATATCGACTCAGAGTTCTGCTTTTATGATGAAGCACAGGATCATCCATTGGCTCCATTGGGATTCAATTTAATTTTTGTTTGCCCAAAAGAAACATCAGCACGGATGTCTACCCCCACTCAAAAATGCTGTTTTTCAGATAAGTTTGTTCTTTTGCACAACCTTAATATGATTTTTAATTTAAAAAATGAATAATTTCAGTTTTTAAATCACACTGCTCCTGATTTCTTACTCCTGCTGCCATTTTTCACCTACAATGGAGACAATGATTTAAGACTAGCTTGTATTTTCAAAGGACCTGATGTGAGACTAATTTATGAGGTGAATAGAAAAATCTATGCAAAGAAAAATCTGAAAGGTGGGACATTAATTTTATTAAATTAAGTGATAAAATCATGCAAAAACATTGATTTATGAATAAGATTATGAATTTAAAGTAAATAAATTAACTATAAAGGATAATCGAACTGCAGGAAGTAAGTAAATATTGAAGTTTTGTAACATGACAGGCTTTCTCAGATCAACTGTATTTTTACTGGAATTAAACTATTTCTTGTTAGCTTAGATTATGATCGCAAATCCAATTCCTGAGTGTTTCCTAATCATGCAGAGTGATATGTCTGAAATTCATTTACAACTGAACAAAGTTTTACTGAACACAAAACATTTGAACAAGAATGGCTTTTGTGACAAATCAGCTAAATTACTGTAAAGTGCATGAAAGCCCAAACAGACCTGAAGGAGACAAAAGTAACAATGTGATGGAGAGCCAAATAAGCTGGAAGGAAAAAATATTTTGTTCCTTAAGAAAAAAAAGCCTGAACCACTCTGCCATC